TCAGAGATCATGGCACCCACGATAGGCCACCCAGGAGGACTTGGCATGGAAAGCACAGAGTGAATGAGGCTCTATCTCGAAATTACCTGTAGCCCTTGGACTTCAGACTGAAATCCACCAGTGTGAGAAGAAACAAATGATGGCCACCCCAAAACTCTGGAATTGGTGGTCTTTGGACCTGGCGAGCATCCCTGGCTTAGCGGGCATCAAAGGAAAGATGGCCCAGAACCACCATATATTTACTATTTTAATTTCCTCTTTGCTTTTACATGACATATATTAATCTGATAGGCAAAGATCTCCCCCTGTAAATGATGCTTCTGGAAATTTCCCCCTAACATCAACCCCATGGTTAATGTACACAGAGCTCAATCATTTCAAAATTCGATCTGCACAAATCAACAGCTTGTGGATTTTGGTTCGCAGGTGGGCTATACTTGCCTAACTGCCTTTTCTCAACATTATGCTAAATTCTATGCCAATGGATAAACTAAAGGTGCAATCAATGTACATCTAAAGTGAACCAGAGTCCTACATAATCTCTGGACAAGTGAATAGATTCTGGGCTTCCACTTAATTGTAGTCTCAATACAAGAGCATTAAGCTCTTATGACTTGGCCCTGCTTAATACTCACCTTTATAAAGGTATGGTGGTGAAGAAAATAGATGGTGCCTGGCTATCAAAAAGAAGAGCACTGGGGCTTTCAAGGCTTGTATTCAAACAAGCAGCCATTTAAGTGAGTTATCAACTAAGTCCACATGGAAGAAGCACACCAGCCCATGTGATCCACAGATGACAAATAACAAAATCCAAAATTAAAGGATGGAAAGGTATCAGAGTTTAAACTCTGAACAACCAATTTATAGAAGGCTATGGACAATGGGAGCCCCAAATCCACCAGCAGAATACCCACTTACATTAAGCCTCTGGCTGATTCCCTGGCCACCTTCAAAGGACCTGAGAGGCGTTGCTATCAGACAGGGATCCTTGTGAACTTGATTGTGGTGGATAGAACTACGGTATATGATGATA